AAGTAAACAAAATGAAAAATAAATGTGGTTACAGTATAGGGTTCTCAAACCCAATTTAACATTTCTACGTAATGTTTACCAATAACCAAGTATTAATTTTCGTGTGGATAACCAACTTGACACGAAAGATGTCAATTAAAAATTAGTCACCAGTAAAACGAAAATACTATACGTAGGTTTCAAGCCAATATTCATTACTAAATATCAACTTCTATATGACATTAAACTCCAGTTGTCTGACATCTACAGATGCTTAAATGCTTATCAAAAACTAACTTCTAGGCCGCGAAATTCTCAAAATTCTAAGGTCCACAAAGGGTCAAACAACAATCCCATGAGTAAGGTTAAACAGCTTGACATAATGTAACCTATAAAGAAGGATACCTACATGTCAAACCCTAACTTTTGGCACAGGTTATTCAGTACTCACGAAATAACATATAAACAAAGCTGCCCATTTGTCAAACACATATTTCTGGAGAAGATTACTCAATAATTACAATATAACAGAAACAGGGTTATCCATTTGCCAAATCCTAATTTCTGGGTAAGGTTAGTGAGTTATTACACACTAACATGTAAAAAACAAGTTTCCATTTTTTGAACAGTTATACGAATAGTCAAAAATAGTCAAGATATTTTTGACACTAATCAAACACTTTTCATACGAGCTTACTTTAGTTTGTAATTATGTTTATTTTATGCTTGAAAGCTCAGAACACAAAAAGAAAGTACAAGTAGAGGTTTAAATAAACGCACAATAAGTAAAAACTTGCTTAGGTAGATTTTGTGTTTTAAATAAGACGAATACAAAAAATATCATTCTAGATATGCATGATATTAAAAAACGGCCAGATTAACTAGCTAAAGACACTACTTATAGCTCAGGTGATTTTTGTTTGTTTCTTTGTGATTAAGTGCAAAGATATACAATAGGCTAACTATGCTGTGCCCACCATGAGTATCTAAACCTGACGTTTAACCTGTAAGCCCTCATAGTTACTGTCAAGCCACTAGTTTAACCTAAGATTTTTCACATTTTTAATACATGCAAAAGTGTGTGTTTGCAACACAGAACGTCCGTAATTAAAGGCGCCAAGCTCCTTTCGCCCAAGCTACTTCTTGTCCTGGGTCATTTACTCGTGCACCTTCTCGGGGGAAAGGTTTCTGTAAGGTTGAACTTGTTATGTAGAAGTGGACAGTGATCTTTTCCACTGGCAAATCAGGTGATACTCGAGGATACACCCTCCCTTTTTATGGTATGGGGATAACAAACTGTCTCTTGGGTAGCACGCGCACCCTGAGGAGAAATAACATTATTTTTTCACGTATATAATACTATTTTTTCTTAATTGGGAACAGATTCGTCACAGACTTGCCATTTTTCGGTTAATATTTTTGAGAGTCCTCTCCAGTGAAAAGTATCGTCAGTCGTGGATACATTTATTTTTATTGCTTTGTGTGGTTTATAAATAATAAATGTTACACCTAGTTTACTTTGTGCCCAGTCTCTTTCTTTGCTCAGAACTCAGTCAAAAGTCGAGGAATACAGTTCAACTTTGCATAACATTTCTGTCGAATCTCCTGTTATTCTACGGAACCTATCAGACTGCTCTAAGCGGAAATCAGTGCACCTGAGAAAACCACAAACTATCATCTCATACACTAATGAAGTATTCTCTTCTCCGGTACACAAAAAGGAGAGTATTTATAGTATTGTCTAGTGTCTGAAATATTAAAGTTAACTATAATGTTTAAAATGACTATAATTTTCGAATAACTTGCATAAAAAAAACATCATTTGTTACATTAAATTTAATAACAACTCCTTTAAGTGACAATGCATTAATAGTACTCATAATTCCTATTTATCAGACATTACCATCTTAGTAATCTTTATTGTATATAAAAACTTTGCCTATTAAGTAAGTATCCTATCTGGAATATTACAATATAAAATATTTCATACATTTTATGAAAAATCGCGCCAATGTATTCTCTTACTTAAAGAAATATAACTAGGCATCAACGGCTGAAGACACGTAACTATGTGACGTATTGAAATTAATGCTAGAATTATACTATATGCCTTAAAAAAGAAAGAACCCTTTAGTTGTTCATAAATCAGCTTACCATGTACGTCAGTTTTGTTCCAGTTATAAATATTTCTTTTTTATAGAATTTTCGTACAAAGCTAGACCAGGGCTTTCTGGACATAACTGTCCTAATTTTGAACAGATACGCTAAAAGGAAGGCAATTAATAAAAAAACACTTACCGCAAACCAATAAGAAAATTTTGTGAGATAGAATAATCTGATTTGACGGTCACTCTTATCGCGTACCCACAAAGAGCGAAGCGCGGGTTTTGCGGCAATGGGACGCGAGCCATAAACCCTCGGATTCAAAATCAGGGCCCTATAGGTGAAATTTGAATTCTGTATGGTGCTCTTAGAATATAGATGAATGCCTCACTTGGCTAAAGTCCTTTAAAGAAGATGCTCTACTCTTCCTACACTCATATTCCAATGTGAGGCCGCAACGCCACCTACCATAATGATCTCATTCTTTTCAAAAATATTTTCAATATAAAACCAATGAAATACGAATATTCACATGTTCTTAATTGTTGGAAGTAATATTTTATATAATTTTGTAGCCTCAAAGAAAAAAAAAAGTGTTACAGAAAACATTTACATAAGGAATGAATAATTAGAGCTTCGTATGCTCTTATCGATTTTTACAGCTTGCATGTAAAAACTTTCCATTATACCTCAGTTTACGTGTTCAATTTTACGCTGGTGAATAGAAAATATCAAGTAATAAGAAAATTTCTATCACCGTTAATGTATGAAATGTAGATTGTGCGATTTTTTTAAATTTATGATTGATTTTACGGCATTTATTTTACGACTGCTTTCACTAGTTCCGACTGATGAACCAGAGCGTATAAAGTTGATGTGCCATTTCCGTGCTCATATTCTTGTTAAACAGTACCCAGACTTCGAAAGTAGCGTAAATTGTGTTGTAAGTTATAGATAAAGTGATGTAACGTTTGCACTGTAGACTTGGTATTATTTTATTATTATTATTATTATTATTTGGAAGTTACACAAGAGCTATTTGCGCATAGCCATCCCTAATTTTGAATTGATGTAGGGAAGTTAACTAATCAGCACCACCCACCGCCAACTTTTCGAGTACTCTTATCTGATCAAATACTGGAATTTGGCTGTCATTTTTATGGTGCACTAACGGTTCAAATTATGGATTGCGTTTTTATTACAATGGGATGCGAACCACGAATGTTTCGGATTCACAATTCGGGCACACAAACCACTAGGATATGTCCGGCGCGCAGAATTCGTAGTTGAAGAGTGTAAGAAAAAAAAGTAAAATATATGTCTATAAACACCTTTCCACTTCCACTAACAGCGTAAAACTTCAGTAGTCAGAATATTTCGAATTTTCCAAATATTAGTAATCAGTAGTTGGACAAAAATAGCATTTTCTCTACGCTCTGCTTCAAAATCATACCGCAGGAAATAAGGGTTAAGCGAACCATTTGAGCAAAATACAACACATTTTCGTGAGAATAATATATATATTGAGTTATAGGTTACACACGCTATGCTATACGAAACTTTCAGAAAAAAAACAAACGTTATCAGTAAAGTTTTAAATTTCAGATTTTATGAAGTCATCAAAATCATACCTTTATTTGGAGATCGCGAAAGTTGGGGAAAGGAATCATCAGTGCTGACACTGCAGCATGAACTTCTATCTGCTGTGGTAATGCTTCCATAGCCGCTAGAAAAACTACCTCCCGAATATCTGTTGCTGTGTTCTGGAACAACAGGTGGCGCCACTTTCTTTATGGAACTCCCCTTTAATGTCCCAGTGCGATGCATTCCTCCAACTGCGGAGAATACCATAATTAAAATACAATTACCGGTTGAGCTTAATTAGCAATATAAATAAACATTACATATATAAACAAGTACTGAAGAGAAATATAAAACATTAAATATTTTACAGCAATTGCTTGTCCTTGAATTTAATTAACATATTAAATATAAACTGGGCTAATTTTCAAGTATTTCCAAAAAATCCACATATTTCAGAAAAATAAGTCATTAATTTTAGGGAAAGAAACAAAGCGACGAATTTATTTCTTAGAGAGATGAAATCGTTATTTCTATGTATAAATAACTAGTGAACAACAAGTCATTTAATTTTCAAACCTCACGAGCTATTAGCACCATGTGTAGAATTAAAAATGTCCCTTTAGAAAAAAGTTCGATTAAAAGGATAAGTTCAAAATTCCAAAACAAACCAAAACTGTGTACATGCAGAGACTGGTTATTGTTTAGTTTCGGATAGTTGCGTAAAACTACACCGAAGCAATATAAGTGCCTCCCAGTGGCACAGCGGTATGTCTGCGGACTTACAACGCTAGAATCCGGGATTCGATACCTGGGGTGGGCAGAGCTCAGATAGCCCATTGTGTAGCTTTATGCTTAATTACAAACAAACAAATACAATTGAACTTCAAATCAGATATCCAGTTAAAGTATAATAAAATATCCAGTTAAAGTATAATAAAACCTTACGCTAGGTAACCCAGTTGAAATTAATTAGTAAAGGCATGAGGATGAGTATTGTTTGTTTGTTTCTTGAATTTCGCGCAAAGCTACACGAGGGCTATCTGCGCTAACCGTCCCTAATTTAACAGTGTAAGACTAGAGGGAAGGCAGCTAGTCATCACCACCCACCGCCAACTCTTGGGCTACTGTTTTACCGACGAATATTGGGATTGACCGTCACATTACAACGCCTCCATGGCTGAAAGGGGCGAGCATGTTTGGTGGGACGGGGATTCGAACTCGCGACCCTCAGATTGCGAGTCGAGCACCCTAACCAGTTGACCATGCCGGGCCTTTTACTTTATATCTTTCATTTTCCACTATGATAGTCATGGCTGAGCGAAGAAATATTCGTTTCATTCTGAATAAAAGTACTGGGTGAGTTTTAAATTTCGATTTCTAATCTGTACTATTTAAATATTCAGAAATATATTTGAACTGATGGAACTGTAACCACTGTAGTGCATATATTTACTTGCTAAATTCGAGTTTGAGCATAAAAATCAACAAATATATTTAGAAAATAGCACTTTAATTTTTAAAAAATAGGGTTGATCAATCGTTAATTTAGATCCTATCAATCGGTATTTTAATGATAATTGATTGGTATTAAATTGTTTATTAATTAGCCAATTAATCGCTATTCGGCCATTTCCCTTAATTGGCAAATCCCTATAGTAGAAACTTAAAACTTTACTTTTATTGCAAACTAACGAAAACTTAAACTAGTTTATTTTTGGAAGAGTAATTTTTGATGCGACACTTAAAACACAGGATCAACTGTGTTGATCTTGATTTATAACACATTATTCTGTTATTTAGCTGTCAGATATGCAAGTGTCAAAATGAATCTACTAAAACCGCTATCACCGCTGATACATTAAAAAATACCATACCGAAGTTTTGACTTAGTTGTGACCATATCTCAATCATAGGTTACCCAGATTTTGACTCGGTTGTGAGCCTGTCTCAATCGTAAATTATCCAAAGTTTTAACTCGGTTGTGAGCCTGTCTCAATCGGAGATTACCCAAAGTTTTGATTCGGTTGTGAGCCTGTCTCAATCGGAGATTACCCAAAGTTTTGATTCGGTTGTGAGCCTGTCTCAATCATAGGTTACCCAAAGTTTTGACTCAGTTGTGAGCCTGTCTCAATCATAGGTTACCCAAGGATTTGACTCGGTTGAGAGCCTGTTTCAAACGTAGATTACCCAAAGTTTTGACTCGGTTGTGAGACTGTCTCAATCGCAGATTACCCAACTTTTTGACTCGGTTGTGAGCCTGTCTCAATCGTGGATTACTCATAGTTTTGACTCAGTTGTGAGCCTGTCTCAATCATAGGTTACCCAAGGATTTGACTCGGTTGAGAGCCTGTTTCAAGCGTAGATTACCCAAAGTTTTGACTCAGTTGTGAACCTGTCTCAATCGTGGATTACCTAAAATTTTGACTCAGTTGTGACCTGTGTCAATCATAGATTACCCAAAGTTTTGATTCAGTTGTGAGCCTGTCTCAGTTGTAGATTACCTAAAGTTTTCAATGCCGTGAAAGGGTATGTTTAATACTCACTATCTTGAATCACATAAAGAAATTAAATTGATACAATTACAAGACACAAACGAAGATATTTATTACATATTACACTTACATATACTTAAAGAATAATTTATTTATTTTAAAACTATGAACGCTATGCCTCAATGATGGTAACTTTAAAGATAAGAAATTAACCAGTCCGCATACATTTTATTATTAAACACAAAGCTACACAATAAGCTATCTGTGCTATGTCCACCAGTGGTATCGAAACCCGAATTTTACCCAGATAAAAAGAATAAGCAGTATTTCAGAAAGCATTTTATTGTTAGAAAGTAAACCTAAAAACTTTAAAACTATGTGAATTTATAAATTAATTGAATATCTTACTAATATATTTAAACACATCCATAAACTAGGATTTTAGTCTTAGTTCATCACGTGTAACATGAACATGTATTATAATTTTGTAAGCTGGAGGGACGCGTAAAGATCGAACGAGAACAGCAGCTTTGATAACAGCAAAATTATCTATATACTCATAAACTAGGATTTTAGTCTTAGTTCATCACGTGTAACATGAACGTGTATTATAATTTAGCAAGCTGGAGGGACGCGTGAAAATCGAACGAGAACAGCAAAATTATTTATATAATCTACCTTTACTTCACACTAAAATTTTCAAAACAGGCAGTATAAAATTTCCAGGTAATGGATGCATTATCTTCAGGTAACACAAACATTCCAACACCTACTTCACAAAAAATAAACTTGTTTGTACATAAGGGGAATATATTAAAATAACGAAATTCATTGAATTACGTTAAATCGTTCTCATAACATATTAGACTCCCACCCTCCGGAGGCTCAGCGGTGAGCTTGAGGGCTTATAGAACTAAAATTCGCAATTCGTTCTCTGATGAGCACAGTGCAGATACCTCTCATGTAGTAGTCTTGTGCTTCAACCAAACAAAACAAACCAGCCTCCCACTAACTAATAATATCGTGACAGCTATCCAGTCAAAGAGAGATTATTTCAGGATTGCCGTTCACTGGATGTTTTGCGTAATATTATCCACATCTTGTTTCTGAATAACCTTATCGTTCTTATAACTTCTTCATGAGATTTTCGTGGTTTTTTTACAAGGCTTCATGTAATATTTTTTCTATCATCCAGTAAAGAAGAGACGTGTTCAAACTTTCCACAGAAAACTCAGATAAGACGAACTAAACTTGACTACACAGATAAACCAAACAGAATGAGATAAAGGGTGAAAATGCCATAGCTCCTTAACCCCTACCCCGCCCACAGATAAACCAAACAGAATGAGATAAAGGGTGAAAATGCCATAGCTCCATACGAGTATCTCTTATATTACACCTTGACTTCAGAGAAGTGGGCAATTTTATTCGCCATGTTTATTTTTTTACCGGTATAGATGATATTTTTACCTGTAGAAGGCTGAGAGTACAATAATTATTATTTAAGGATCTAGTTACAGCTACGGGAAATGTGCTTCAGACGCAGTGTATCTCACATATATCACTAAACATCTAGTGATCTATTTAAATAGGTCTGAGCGAGGCCCAGTGGAAAGTGTAGCGGACTGTGGATCCGTGTTTCGCGTCCCCTCACCGAAAAATAAAAGGCATGATGATTTTCCTAGCTTGCTGCAAAGTTTACCCTCAAGTGATTGCAGCCAAAATTTATAGCCTTTCACAGTGGTGACCGTTATAAAATGTCCAATAGGTATAGTTTTTTACAGTGGTGACTGTTATAAAAATACCCAATAGGTATAGTTTTTTTACAGTGGTGACCGTTATAAAATGCCCAATAGGTATAGTTTTTTTACAGTGGTGACCGTTATAAAATGCCCAATAGGTATAGTTTTTCACAGTGGTGACCGTTATAAAATGCCCAATAGGTATAGTTTTTTTTACAGTGGTGACCGTTATAAAATACCCAATAAATATAGCTTTTTTACAGTGGTGACTGTTATAAAATGCCCAATAGGTATAGTTTTTTTACAGTGGTGACTGTTATAAAATGCCCAATAGGTATAGTTTTTTACAGTGGTGACTGTTATAAAATGCCCAATAGGTATAGTTTTTCACAGTGGTGACCGTTATAAAATGTCCAATAGGTATAGTTTTTTTACAGTGGTGACTGTTATAAAATGCTCAATAGGTATAGTTTCTTAGAGTGGTGACTGTTATATAATGTCCAATAGGTATAGCCTTTTACAGTGGTGACTGTTATAAAATTCTTTTATAAATTATACACAAGATACCAGGAGCATAGAGAGCCAGCACGGGCACCCCCACTCTCTCTTGTTAAACAATTTTAAGAACTTGTTTAAAAGAAGATCCTAAATTAGGACAGCAACGAGCTCATAAACCAGACAAAATCATAGCAGCAGCCGTTTCTGAGCTCACAGTATAAGCGTAAAAACGTTAGTAAGGCAACAACAAATATCTATTAAATCTATAAAGTAACAAATACATATTAATTATTATTTCAATCATTCTTATTGTATCAAACGTCTTTCTGCAAAGAAAAGCTAAAAACTATGCTTTTTACGATTAAATGAAGATATAGCCTGAAAGTGCTTTTTGGGCTTTACGGGCCCCTGGGCAGACTGCAAGAGACTGTTATGGTCTTAGGTATCCAGGTGGCGCACCTTTTCATTTTGATTTTTTTTTGTTGTGTGTGTGTGTGCAAGTATTGGCGCATGCCTACA